GAAGTTTTCATTTAGTGTACGAATACTCGTATGTGTGGGCTAGCATCCAACACTCAACTGCTGGGCACTGCTGGAATATTAAATTATGAAACTTAATGTCAAACAAATGTGTGGCTTAACTTTTCCAGAATGGTCGCATAAGCTGTCTGTGAGTGAGTTGTTTGGTTACGCAGCCGCAAGCAACGAAGGATATTGAATAATTTGTGCGCGCATATACATACAAAGTATATACATACATATATATGCCCTTATGTGAGCTTATGGTAGCATCCAAGTATCTGTGATTGCTAACCAGAAGCAAGTTAACAACTCATTTATTGGAATTAAATTCATATATGGCTTTGATCGTTTTCTCAAAGGGTTTAAGATATAGTTTTCTGACAAAACAAAAATAAGAGTGGTTGGATTAGGAGAGTATAAATATATACCAGTGCATACACATATTATTTAATTATATTTATTCTTTAAACTGTATTGGTGAGAAATTCTACTGTAATTACAAAAGCATATTTTCAATAGAAGCTACTTAATAGGCCACACACAGTCAAGTCAATATTGTACCTAAAGTCAAAGGCAAAAAATCAAATTGAAACCCCATTCCCACGCCCCGAAACAACACAGATTTCACGCTCAGAAACTGACAGCAAACACCCGAGTACACAGAGACCCAAGACCCTGCCAAGAACACCCACGATACCCCAAACCAATGAGCTTGCTTGACGTTCACTTGCTGCTCAACATCCGGCAGACAATAGAAGCAGACGGTAAGTAGACGAAAACTTTTTAGTTGGATTATATTGAGGGGAAGCACGTTGGCACAAGCACGCATCATTCACCACCCACTACCCACTACCCACCACCCAGCACTACATCGAAACCCTCCACTACGGTCGTCCATCCTCCGCAATCTACCAACTCGCTGCCTCGTATACACACAAAATTCGTTTTATTACTTTGATATATTAGATTTAATGGTTAAGAAAAATGTTGCCACCAGCCTGCACCCGCCGTCGTAATGCCCCCAAGCATCTATTGTTAGACTAAGCCCCATCACCCCGTCCTCGCTCAGCTCTCGTTGCATTTAACCTTATTAAAAGGTGAACACTGGCATGGCACCAGAGAGAATTGCCACAATGTGTTCACTATTCTGGGGCCTGAGAGCTCAACGAGTCTGGTTTGGGGGTACGATTGGTTTGGCAACACGATAATGACCTCAATGTGTAAATGTATGCGTAGCCTAGGAAAGGCAACGTCCAATGAGCTTTCACCAGATCTGCGCATGTCCAATGAGCATATGCTCCCATTTGGGAAGACTCCCTCACACACCATCTTTCTCACGGGGCAGACGTGAGCGCAGTGGGTTTGTCAATGAGCTTTGTACATTGATGTGCTAATTTAGAAATTACAATGAAGTATAGCTTCAATGAGTTTGATTCAATTTGTCATTTCACACTTGGACTAAACGGCTTGGTTGCCATGGCGGCCGTTCCGGGGCTGCACATTTTGAAGTGTGGCCCTCAAGTGGTTCCCATTATGGTTTTGCAATTAAGTACATAACTAAAGAACGTAAGTAACAAAGTAAAGCTTAAATGAAAGTGATTTACTGAATTTAATTAGGAACCATTATCTGGAGACTTTTAGGTTTCCTCGGGACATCAACTTCTTGTAGCTCGTGTAAGAGAAAACTTTTTCATTATTATAGTGTGTACCGGAAAGGTGAAGGAGTATACTAAGAAGCCCAAAGTTGAAGTAAAAGGCTATATTTTAGAGGTGAAATGTTCACCACGGTCCACCCGAATAAACATTACAACTAAGAGCTTTCAAATCATAACATTAAGTGAAACACAACTTCGTCAATCGATAGCGTAAATGAAACTTATCTTGAAAAACCTAATTTCCTTTGAAATCCTCATTTTATCATTATGTATTTTTGTGAGCTCGGGAACTAGATTCTTACATTCTACTAAATGCAATTAGTCCTGAATTGGGTCAATTTGTAAACATTTGGCTTTAAATTGAATAATATTTGAAATTGAAAAATTCAAGCTGGTGCTTAGAGCTTAGAAAGCTGCATTTAATTCAATATAATTTAAAGATTTTCATTTCAGATCTCAGAATTTGTAGCAATATGGCTCAACATAAAAATAATTGCAATAATTAACTTATATAGAGCGATTCCCTTCTTATTGAAAGTAAATTAATGTTTTATAGAAACTACTTAAATACATTGCTAAAATCACTTTCTTCTGTTCAGCTAATTGTGTTAGTAAAATTTCTCAACCATTTTAAAGCATTATTGTAAATATTCGAGGCGTGCCCGTCTATTTTTAAGGTGTGTGTATTAGTGATATTAGAAATGTTGGGGCCCTAACACTAATTGGCACAATTAAATGTTTTGATATGTCTAAGATAGGACATGTAAATTACATATTATCGGTATATCCCTGACGAGTTTGCCTCATCATCATACAGAGTGTGCATGATTTTGCATAAATTGAAAATGAATACGAGTATGAAGAAACTATGAACGCATTGCCCATTTCAAAGATGGGAGATTAAATGACAGGTAGGCGCTCCCTGGGCCTGCGACAGGGCCAAGGACTTAAGTCGCCGATGCTGTCCTGACCTGAGCTCTAAATTAAACGAACGATCAATCGGATTTCTGAATGAAATCTTCTCCTGTCGTAGTCCTATGAAAATATGATTAAGCGCCTCACATACACGTATGCAAATGCGCGGTGCGTTAATCCACAGGCCACTATCCCGACTGCCTGTATGTGGCGTCACACATCTGTCACATTAATGAGTTTCATCAATGCTTCTGTCTGCAGGCTACTTGTGCACAATTCCCGGGAAAATACATATCCAGTGAATTTTCGCAGTTTGGCTTTGCCGTTTGTTTGTATGCAGCTCACAATTGAATTGTGCAAGTTTCGACAAATTAGTGAGCTGAGGTGTTGTCGTCGTCGTTATAGTCGACGCTGTTGCTCTTACTGCTCATTGTAAGCGGCGTTATGCTGCAGCTTAGACAAATGAGGCATTGTATTGGTTTTCGGAATGACCATCGAGCATGTCTCTTCTGAAGCACTAGCATTTTAGCTGCCTTTTGTCTGTTATGCAACCTGTAAATTGCTGAGTAACCTCACCCAGCAAGGTGCAGCCTGTACATATGTAGTTTGGCGCTCTAAGCTAGGATCAAGTAAATCTACGGGCGAACAGGCTGCTTCGGGATTTAGAATGACACTGGGTAAGACTAACACTATTCGGGGTTTGCTGAAGCAAACCTTCTTTTTTATACATGAGCCAAGGCTTGAGTTTGAGCAAGGGACTGAGTATTTGTTCCTCATATATTGAAAAGAGCTTGAGAAAACTCTGAAGAATAATTAAATTGAAAATACTTGTATAATAGGAAGTTCATTTTCTCATAGAGCAAAAAGCATTCTAAATTGAAATTCATAATGTATTTATTACATCTTGAAGCTAACATGTTTTAGTATAAGAAATTAATACATTGCATATAACGCCGATTAGGATATATGTATATGCGAGGTACTGTTCCTTTTGTTTTTTAAAGTTGACACTACTTTGAAGTTCTCGAAAGTCTACATGCAAAAGAACAATTATAATTTTTATGAAATATGAATGAGAGTCGTTCATTGTGGATAAACAACTTTTAAGAAATATAAATTGGATATTCTTATATAACATCTATTAACAGAGAACTGCAGAAACTTCAAAGTTTGATTTGATTGGAAAACAAATTGCTACTTTGGTTCAAGGTTGGTTTGTTTCTGTGAATCTAAGACCATTACAAATTTAAATCAGCAGTGAACTGCACTGTCGCGAAAGGACTGAAGGATTTATTGAATGAACTGATTAGGTAGGTACAGCTAAGTGAAGGGATTCATTGAGTGGTTAAGCTATCAATGAAAGCCGCTAATAAAATATGGTCATACCCTTATTATGGTTGTCATAAATTTGTCTCTATGCGCGATACGGGAAAATAGTAAAACTTTGAATGACGCCAAAGGGCAGACGACTTGAAAGAAATTGGAAATTAGAATATTCATTCTAAATGGCGCATACGCCACGCTGTCACGAATTTCAGGTAGCTCAGTAACCTGTTTTTGATTTGTTGATGCACGGACCTCTCAGGGTATCATGGAGTGAGCAGGATGGTTGCCAATGGCTAGGTAAGGAGTGTACTGCGTAAGAGCGCAAGATTAAAAAAACTACTTATAAGGATACACAAGTTTTAATGAGCACAAAATTTGTCAGCTAAACAAAATTAATAGGCAAACGTGCCATAAACATAAAAACGAGTGGAAAACAGCGAGCTGTTCAACAAGAGAGAAAGAGAGTAAAGTAAGAATGTGTGTGTGTGTGTGTGTGTACAACACCCTTCGTGTGCATGTATATGTGACTACCTGTATAGCTAACATTTCAACCATTACCACTGCCAATAGCCAACCCAACGCCAATGAAACTACCCTGCGCTTTGCGACAGAGTGAGATAGAAAACGGCGGGCAGGATAACAGGCGAGGATAACAAGAGCCCAAGCGCCTCGCCCATTTCATTCAGACGCACAGACACTTGCCATCCGCAATACAGACCGTTGTATTTAATACCAACGTTCTGCACTCTCGGCGCTCAGTCGGTGGTTGTTGATCGCTACGAGCGTACGTGCCGTTTTAGTGCTGAAGCCCAAAAACAAACCCGCCGTCACCGCAGTAAATACATAGCAATAACAACAATTAGCAACTAAATTAACGAAATCAAATTAACTAAACAATTTGTGCGTGCGCGCGTTAATTTATTCTTGTTTCTTTGCCTCGTAATCGAAAAGTGCACTTGGCAAATTCCCATTCAAAACTGTTGCACATTCCTCAAGCCAACGAGTGTTATAATTGTTAATTAATTGAAAAAGTGCGCTCAATGTTCTAGTAACAGTTCTAGCACAGGGAGTAGAGCAATTACTGAAAACAAACAATTTCAAGATATGATGACCACAACCACAACGCATCCAATCATGCCACCCGCCATGCGTCCCGTTCAGGAGAGTTCCGTATCGCGCCCACGCGCCGTCTATAGCATCGATCAGATTTTGGGGAATCAAACAAAACGAAGCGGTAAGTCAGTATATTTAACTTTTCTAATGTGTTAAAGGGAAATGAATACACTGAATAGTTTAGTTCCAAAGTAGTCTCTCAAATGCCGTTGGCATAACAACATCATAAAAAATGATTTTTTATACTTTATTTGCTATTTTCTGGACTTTATGTAGTAGTTATAATCTGAAATCGCCGTTTAATAGAGACTTCCTTCAGGATTTTAAAATATGTAATTTTCAGGGAAAGGTATGAATAATTGTAAATTGACCTTTAATAGAAACATTCTTCAGGATTTTAAAATATGTAACTTTCAGGGAAAGATATGCGTAATTGTTTTTATCGGATTCAAAAAATATACCATTACTCGTATGCCATATAGCTGTAATAGAAACCATAAATACTTATTAAGAGGCAAGCATGATCGCTTTTTTTCTGATCTAGCTACACATACGTTGCCAGGTTTGAGAGAGTAGAGATTAGTATTTTGAAAAGAGTCTTATTATTGATGTTGGTAACGAAATATCAAAATTTGTGGATCCTTCAGAAGTGGTCCAGAACTTTTCTGTGGTAGCAAAAATCCGAAGATTAGACCACAAATAATACACATTCTCATAGCAAAAAGAATGATATAAAAGTGGTTATCTTATATAGTTTACACAATAATTTTTCAAGCTTAAAACATCGAATTTGTTGTCTTAAATTCCTTAGTAATAAAGAGAGATCATTTTGCATTGCACGATATAGCAATTCATAAAAGAAAATAAGTTATTATTATTTTCCGGTGCAGAATGCTTTTAGGTATAATTATAATTAGTACAGATATAATACTGTTTTTCAATGGCCAATTCGATTAAAGTAACAAGTTAAATTGTCAAATTTTGTATCCATTGGATGCATGAAGTTGTTGAAAACCGTACTAAAGGTGACAGTTAATAGCACTTGTTTTAACACCTTTTTGGCGCTTAGTCCAAAGTGTCCGATTCCTCAATCCATCAAAACCCATTTTGGCGTCAGCCTATAAATGAACAGATGGATAAGTGAATGTGTTTTGGTGTGTCCGAAATATGCAAATGTTGGTATTTCATGCATAAAATAGGTGACTGTAGTTATGGAGATCGGGTGTCGGAATAATGTGATTGGGGCGTCGCATGATAGACCCTTGTAGTGGGCGTGCTCGATTGCCCGCAGAGTGTGCGGAACTGTTGTGAACACCCGAGGCTATGCAATCCCTTTGGGATACAATAGAAAATAAAAAATACTTTAAAGCGAGCAAATCAAAACATAGCCTGAGATTTGATGCCTAGCACCCAACGAGTTTGGGTAATAAGCGAAATGCGTCATTAGACCCATAATTAGATTGATATTGATGCGAAGTGCTGGAAAACTGTGCTCGCATCCACAACTACGCTACAATTTGTGACAACGTGTGCACCGCAGGACATCGCAGGATATCAGAGCAAGCGCTTACCAAATTGCACGTTCATACTCTATCGGCCCAACAATCGTTGGAAGCGAACGAGCGTCGAATAGCCGGGCTGCACGTAATTTAATGCCTCGGAAATTACCTTTTTGCCACAATAAGCGGCATGAATGTTGCAAAATACGAGTATGAAGGAGAACGACATCGAGGATACATGTACATGCATAGAGCATGAGCATGACTTGCGCAACTGCTGATAACAACAATAAATCCTGTCGCGCTGTACCCTGTTAAATGTCCTGCTGTGCCGCCTGTGACGCTTTGTTTGGCACGACGTCGTCGTATCGCTGGCATTGTGAATATTATTAATTTGAGGTTCATTAAAATTTGATTACATGTTCTGCACATGAACAAGATTTTACAATTTTTCTTTCATGTATGTGCAGAGTCGTGTGAAATTGGATACGTTTACGATAGAGCATTTTTATGAATTTAGACAACAGGTTTTAATTATCCATAGCAACAGCATGTATAGTATGTGAAAAATCACACAAGTGTGTAAATAATTAATTATACTTGTATATATATTTATACCAAAATTAAGAAAGAATATGATTGATTTTAAAATCGATTTACACCCGGGCTTCTTCACAATCTCAATCGTTTTAAAGTTTTTTTTTAAGAGTGTTAAGCTAAACGGTTGGAGGCGCAGCATTATATCAGGATATTGCAGCTTGAATTACAATTGAATGGGTATGGAAAGCACACACATACAAATATGTAGGACATGAACAGACGTAGGCACTTTTGATTTCGCGCGCGCAGCTGCTGAACAAAATTCAGCTCGCACTTTAAACTCCACTTTTGAACTTTTTTTTTGTAGCTTTCAAAGTCAAACACAAATTGCAAACTCTGGTATACTCGAATTCAATTGAGTAGCATTTGAATTTGATTTTTTTGATTTTTCTATACTTGTGTATGCATTTTTCGTTATTGTTGTTGTTACTCTATAGAGGCCAGGCACTTTATTTCGTGCATTGTTTGCATACTTAATATTGACGCTGTTTGCGATAGAAATTTTAACTGAATGTTGTGCAACCCCGATAACGCTGTTGCTGAAGCTGCAATGGGAACATTTTTAAATTTTACGAAAAACTTGTATTCCTTATAGATTCCAATGATGTACTTATAACGCATCAGCATCATGCACATCACATACATCATTTGCACAACAACAACAGCTTGTTGCAACTCAGTCACCAGCAACAACAACAACAACAGCAGCAGCAGCAGCAGCAGCAACATCAGCAACACCAACTTCAACAACAGCAGCAACAGCAACAACTTTTGCAAGCAGTCGCCAAACGTGAGGATTCGCCAACGAACACCGACAACGGGCTGGATGTCGATAATGATGATGAGCTCTCGTCTAGTCTTAATAATGGCCATGAAATCGGCGATATGGAGCGGCCGCGTAAAGTTCGTAGGTGAGTCAGTCAGTTAACAAGCCGCTTAGCAGATAAAATCGTATTAGTCGTATTGTCATTGTCTCGTTGCGAGAGAACCAGCCAAATAATAAACAATGAGATTAATGTGTTTTGTATCGTCCCCTTTCCTTTCTCTGCTGTTACAGATCACGCACAACTTTCACAACATTTCAATTGCATCAATTGGAGCGCGCCTTTGAAAAGACACAGTATCCTGATGTTTTCACAAGGGAGGATCTGGCCATGCGCTTGGATTTGAGCGAAGCACGTGTGCAGGTAATTGAAATAAATAGCTTAGCTTAAATAGTACTTTTGATGGTATCAAAGGTAGATCGCGCACTTGATACCAAATCATCTCAAACCACTTTCTGCTCAACTGATTATGAAATTGTTTACGGCCCATGAACTGCAGTTGAAAATTTGGATACAATGCGCGGTCCAAAGCTCACGGAGATTATGTGTGTTTTTAATTGGCCGCCAAAATTGAATTGCTATATATACATATTTCGAATAAGCCAGCAACCGGCCAGCCTGAGCATAACAGTAGATACTGCCTTATAGAAAAATGGCAATCAATATTGAGGCTTTTCTCCCAGCAGACAAACATGCAGAAAATGTGCAGAAAATTACTAATCTTTTTCAAATATTATTAAATACGACTCAACCTCATCTCAAACTTGTCTCAAACTCGACATGCAATTTTGGTTTGTTTTCTAGTGGCTAAGGACCATTAAGTAAAGGTGTTGATAGTGGATTCTCAACGTTCAAAGTTATGCCTACACGGGGCTTACTGTATTCCTGTATGTTCGAGTTCATATGAAAAACATGCATAATTTGTAAATAGTCTTTTAAACACTTAAGCCCCCATTTGTATAAAATAACATGTCAGATAATTTGCCGACAGGATTGCGTGCTTTAGGGGTGGCAATGTACATTATATTATGATTTTCCAAATGATTAAATTGGCTTGCTCAGGGTCGGACGCATAGTAGACGTGGTGTTAGTATTTTTATTAACTCTACTTTTGGGTAAACAATTAAAGTGGCTTTGGGTGCACGCTCTGCTGGTGGTTGTTGCCGATATATACATACATATATACGTGTATATACGAGTAGTTCCGCGCGTTTCCACACGGATACACATGTAATTAGGGTGACGTGGCCGACGCTCATGAGCATTTGATTGCTTGATCCTTGCACAATTTGATTTCAGTTGAAATACATAGCACACAATACGCTGAGCGGCATTTCAAACACTTCTCGCCCATTTCGAACGTTGACAGAAAATGAAAACAAATCTTGACCCGTCGCTTAGCGCGCGCAGTGGGATTATGTCTCATACAAAATTTGTTTCAGTCCTCTTCAACTTCACGGGCTTGTATCTGTTGCTAGATTTTCCGTAATTGGTCATTGATTTGACGATACATGTATTTTTTGTGCTCTCTACTCCCTTCAATGACTTTCACATGAAGCGCTCTTGAATAGTAACAGATTCTGAGCAGTTTGCTTTGTGATGCCTTTTTTCTTCCCAGTTATCCTTGTGAAACGTTTATCGTGTTATGTTTGCATATATGCATATACAAATTTGCTACCCCTAGAAGGGTTGACGAGTGGGCAATTATTTTCGGATTTTGTTCACTTAATCGCGCAAATGCAAACAAAAATCAAGTGTGGAAGGCTTAAATTCAGCCTTGGCGTTTTTGTTGTTTTTTTTTTTATTTTTTTATTTTGGTTAGCGAGTGGATTTATGTTAAAATGTTTGGGTCAGACTGGCTTTAAAGTATTTTATTGAGAACAAATATTGAGAAAAAATAAGGCAACATTATGGCTATAATACTTTAGCAAAAGAATGATTTTCCTATTATTCTAAAATATATTTCTAGTTTCAGGATTATTTTTGATCAGGACGATGTGAAGAATTAGAGGCGAGATAAGTAAAATATGCTTCTAGTGAAAGATAAGGTATTACAAAAGCAGTTGGGCATACAGTTTTGTTATAAGACAAAGTGAAGGGTATACAGCTTACGACTCGTTCTCTTCTATTATGATGCCAAAGTATCTTGAACCACAACGTTTTCCTTATTGCAATAATGTCAACTTTCTCATGTTAATATATGTAATTTGCTTGCACACTTGCATAATTAGAACTTTTTATAAAATATACATAATATGAAAATTTATTCTATGTACAAAAACTATGTCCTCTCTCAAATTTAAATAATAAACGGGACTTTTAGGCTTCTACAGCCACTGACAAAAATACATTTGTAACAGATACTTGTAGAACTTTTGTGCATCGACTTATTCTTCTGTATATTATCAGATTGCACATGTGTGATAAATGCTGAGCGGATATCCGCAATTCAAGTTTTACGGCTGTGTGGCATACAAAGTGGCTTAAGTTGTAGAAAAGCCACAATATAATTGTGCTACTAGCAATTAAAATGTGCAATGCACACAAAAATACTCGGACACATTTGTGCGAGCTTATCACAAGGGTTGGCAAAATTTACTCACGCATACACAGACACAGCCACAGACACAGGCACAGTCACAGGACAATAATTGGCAGCAATTATAGCAAGGAAATCGTTGCTAATTTACTACTCGCTTTGCTGCACACATTGTTGTTGTTACAGCCACTGTCGTTGTCAATGCTGTTGTCGCATTTGCGTAATGATGCTATATACTCGTATATAGGGTGTCTAAAATTGTTGGAAATTCTTGGGCACAGTTGTTAAGTGATTTCAATTCACAAACAATTAATTTTCTTAATATGCGCGCTCAATTTGAGGGCAGGCCCATTGTCCTTAACGGAAATGTCTATGGACAGAAGTAGAAGGCTCGCAGGACTTTTTCTCTAGCTACTGTTTGAAGGGCCCTTTACGGATGGTTGGTGTGAAAAGTGCAAGATATCACCCCAAGGTACATGAAGACACCACACCCTTAAAATGTACTGCCCTTTACACACACACACACACTCACACACACACGCCGGGCGTAGCAAATCAGAGTTGCACACTTCCGATTGGATGCTATTGTATTTGCCATGGACGCAAAGACAGCAATTGATGAACTTTTCGGCCGAGGCCCAGTCGAGTTCAGTCTGCTGTGAGGTAGTGGCAGATATTGGAATTGGTCAGGGCAATTACAAGACGTTAGGCCAAATTTGCATGGATCCATGAACACACACACACACTCCATACACAAAGGCAAACTCTTTGGCAACACAACTCAAACTTCTTATTTGGTTATTTTGCAGGTTTGGTTCCAGAATCGACGCGCCAAATGGCGTAAACGTGAGAAGTTTATGAATCAGGACAAATCCGGCTACTTGCTGCCCGAGCAAGGTGCGTATATTCACATTTGGCTAATTTCGAAATTACGTGTCTAACATAATTAAAAAATCAATTTTGATTGCCACGTGCCATGCACCACGCCCATCACGACTAATGATGACTTTTGATTTGATTAACAGGTCTACCGGAGTTTCCATTGGGCATTCCGCTGCCACCTCATGCCCTCCAAGGACACCCCGGTGCTCTGCCTGCCGAGTTCTGGCCTCCACATTTTGCCCTGCATCAACATCAGCTGATGCATCAGCAACTTATGCCGCACTACAAGCTGCCCAACTTCCACACCTTGCTCTCGCAATACATGGGCCTGAGCAATTTGAATATTTTTGGCGCCGGAGCTGCGGCAGCTGCTGCGGCGGCCAGTGGCTCGGCTGCTGTGGCGGCTGCGGCTGCAGGATATCCGCAGAATCTGTCGTTGCACTCCTCGGTCAGTCAGGTTAGTCCGCCGTGCAGCAATAGCAGTCCTCGCGAGAGCCCCACGCTCGTGCCAGGAGCTACTACCCTCGTATCTGGGGGTCTTACGCTGACGTCAACATCGGCGTCCTCGCCCCGTAGCCCCCTCTTGATTGGCAGCGCCGGCAGCGCAGCGGGGGGCAGCAGCAACGCCTCGACCCCCGTTTCCGTTGTGACAAAGAGCGACGACTGAGATACCAATGTGGATGAATGGGAGCGAGAACTCACAATCAATGTCGCAAATAGCATAATGGGTGGCTAATTCATTTCGCACAAGTTTTCACAGAGCAGTGGAAATTTGCATTGCATTTGTGGTGATAATTAATATGGGGTCTATAGTTTTAAGTGGGCCGAGCGTTGTGTAGAAGCTTGTAAAATATCGTACAATATTAGGGCAAAAGTTAATCTTAAATACTTGTATTTAGTTGTAAACGCAGCAAATGTCATTAATTAATAATTAAATCAATAATAAATTAAGCAAGTGCACAATATAAAATTAAAACTTTGTGTTATAATCTAACTTAACTACAAAAACTTCCTACAGTTTTTACATAGGATCGTAAGTATTTCTAAAATCTGGGGAAAAAAAAAACAATGGACAATCGTCGAGGTTGATAATTCTTAGCTAAAGATATTTTCATCAACTTTCTTTTCATTAAATTAAATTATTTCCAATGTCATTAGATGATCAATAATATGGATTTAGAAAACATAAACAAATTTCAGTTAATAGGATAATCAAAATTTATAGCATGGATATTACTTATAGTATAAGCTCGCGTCGGTAACATCGCAAAAAAAATCCCCAGCCGGTCCAAAAATTAGGAAAGTATTTCATACCTCTTGGTTTGTTTACTTCAAATTGAAAAGGAATGCAGGTCCAGTAATATGTTCTTCTAGTTGTAAAAATGTTACAGAACGTTTTTTGGCTTTGAATGGAACGTGCAACAGAATACATAAAAGGTACCATTGACAAATCCGTAATTAAGACATTCTGTTGTAGGTACGGGTCGTGGAACTATTATTTGCAAACAAACCATCGACCTATGATTGCGCTGATTGAAACTGATCTTCGGCACGTCGACTACTGAAGTACTTAACATCAGCGCCGATTAACAACCCCTGAATAAAATGGTTCAATGGTCCTTGGCCATTGTATGTGTATAAAATCAAGAAGCAAGAGAATTTCAAATAGAATAATAATCTCGATATTGTGCTCATGTGAGTTCAAACTACCAGCAAAGGAAATGTTGCATAACATGTAGCACATCTGAAAGGAAATAATAAAGGGAGAAATTGCATTGTGAGCTGCGGAAACGGCGGCAGTATGTGCTCCAAAGTCTGTGAAGCAAAGGGATTTCTGCAAATTGAAGTGGTGCACATAATGCGTCAACACCGAAAGACTTTCCGCATCCACATTAAATCTGGGACTGAAGTCGGCTCGGCTCTGTGCCTTTTGTAGTTGGCCGCATGCAGGGCCAAAGGCTGTATTGATATCTCATAATTTGTGCCGCAATTACTTTTTAATAATTTCGCATTGAGTTGACGTCTGTCGGAGCATTTCGCTCGACATGACGTCGCATTGTGATTATGCGCACCACTGCGCCTGCGCCGCTGGCAGAAAAATTTAATAAAAACTCTGTTTTCTCGGACAAGTACTCAGTCGATGCGCTTGGAATTTGATTACACTTACAATTTGGCACTTGGCTGTGAGGTCAGAACGGAACGGAACTGTGAATTGTGAAATGTGAATTGAATTCGATGCATCAAATATGCGACTTAAGGGATTTGTCTCATCAAATGTGTGCTCGGGCATAGGGTACAAAGGAAGCTTTCATAAAAGTCACATGCAGTGGCTTTTGTATGCACTACGTCCCTTCCACGCTTCTCTAGACCTTTCCGTCTATAAACGAAAATTCAATAAGTTGAAGTAGATCTCTTATTTGTGCAAGTGTTTGCGGCCTTGGGGGCAGGACGATGCTTTCCGTTCATGGTTGCAAAGGGCTTACACACCTATTTACATTTTTTCCACCAAATATCTGTATATACACAAACACACACACACACACAGACATACGGCTCTGTGTGTGCATGGAATTTCATTCAGTGCACTCTGCGGGCTATAAATATATGAAATTTATCAAGTGGCCTTTTGAGTTTCTTATTTGTGGCTCTATGAAATTGAGTGTCGAGGTGTGTGTGTGTGTGTGTGTTTGTGTGTATTTGCATTTAGCTCAGATGCACAGTGTGTTTCACCTTGTAAATGTGTGTGTGAGTGTAACGAACACGTACATATAATAAAGCACATTGCCATTTTTGCCTACCCTGCTTTGGCGGCTACTTGCAGTTTTATGAGCTCTTCAAAAATTTTGTGAACAATGAAATGAAAATCAATTTCGATGCGACACTCGAGCGCATTAAAATGGTAACAGTTACGGAAAACAAGTGCCAGCAGCCTGACGGGCGGTCACACTTGAAGAACTGGCCACATTTTGCTATTTTGCGAAGAAAATATTAATAATTGTACACTCAGACAAAAAATTCCAATTCAAACATGAAATATCAAAAGAGCGAACAAAAGCTTGTTAAACAAACTGAAGGATATATTATTATAGTCAAGTTTGTAAGCAATAATACATAAATTAAGCTACCAATATGAAGAAACAGGGTTTATTTCGATTAAAAGATTCAAGATTGTGTTAAGAATCTAACTGCGTACATTTTACTCAAATAGAGTAGGTCAACTATGTTACGTGGTTGATACTTATCCAAATAAGAGTTTTTGATTTATTTGGCAATCTATCTCTTTCAATTTTTATTTCCCTTTTTAGTTGTTATTGTGGATTATTAGTATTACATTTTAAAAAATTAGCCACTCTAATATTTCTATGATGAATATTTTCCTTTCATAATATTCAAGATTAAATTTAGATTCTATCAGTGTATATGTCTACTTATTTAAATGCATACATATAGACATACCGATATTTACTTGTGGAGTCGGCCAACGACTTGGTATAATGAGTCACTGACTGAATTTCTGTCTACAACGACTGAATACAACGGTAATTAAACAAGTTAAATCCGCTCAACAGCCGCTCAAGGCAGATTTCATTTCGCGTGCTTTTCAGCTGCTGCTCCTCGTGTTCGTGGCTGCCATTCGTTGTTGGCATCCTTGTTGGCTGCTGTTTGGCGCACCATTTCATTTCAATTCATTTCATTTGCTTGTCGTTATGCACACACTTAAATATTATTTAATTCATCAAAAGTCGTCAACGAAATAATTATGCAGCTTGTCTCATTTGTGCGCTATTATGTGGCAGCAGGCTGGCAGGCTGACAGGCGCAGATGGAGATGTAGCCACTGCTACTGCCGCCGCCACTTCATGGGCTCATAACGAGCGCCATTTTGTGCTCTGAGGCGCCCAAGAAAATATCACAATACCGACAACGCCTTCAAAATAACAGCAATCTCCAGCGATAATTATAGCAATTTGTGTCCCACTTATGAGACCTCAAGTATCTAATGTCACTGTCCTCAAGGATGATCAACATCACAGGCAAATTGCCAACACACCGCAATATGCAATTGCTACAATTTCCGACAGGATATTAGTAAGTTGGCGACAGCAGATCGAACAACACGAAATCGGATACTTTTGTGACTATTTCAAAGTGGGCCGCTGCGGATCTGGATCTGATATTGAAAGTGAAGATTCCTATGAGTGCGTTTCGCTGACTTCACTAAACAGCACTAAGCTGTGCCTTATTTATCGTCTGGCGATAGATGCAGCTGATCTTGAGGATCTTTTTCTCTGTGTTTTCGCCATGTTGTGAATAAAGAAAGAGCAGTAGCTCATGGTGTATTGTTTAGCGTTTAGCCAAAATGGTTTCATGCTTGATTTAATTTGATTTATATGTTTATGTTTTGGGCGACGTTCAGGTAGAACAACTATGACAAACAGCTGCTAAGGAATTGTTCAGTTAATTCGCTATTTATTGGCCATTTTTATTTCAAAGGCAAGGACCATTATAGATACATCGCTCACACACACGGGAGTAAGATAAGTCTCGGACAGAAAGAGTAAACTAATGCATATACAAGTACTTACATAGGAGGTGCGCTTAATGGATATACTTGTAAATTTATAAAATTGAAAATTAATAAAACTGGGAAAATAGTTTTATTTGATTCTAAAATAAAAAGCATGGATACGTTTAAAAATTTGTGGCATTCTACAATTTATAACACCCTGGAAGAATTATTTTCATGAAAGACAGTGAACATCGAACTGTATGCCTTGCTGTCATATACGATTATTACTTGTATTAGTGCATCAAAATCATAATCAATATGCAATATGAATTACATTTAAGCCTATGAAAAGCCATATTTAAATTGCCAATAAATACGAGTAAACAAGTAAATAAGCACAAATACGAGTCGATTAAATAGATATCACAATAGAATACTATTAAATTAAGTTAATCAATTGTATGCGCTGTGAAACTGAGCAGCTGCTGCATATTGTTTGTTTACATTTCACCTTGCCATCGGCGTTCAAAACACAACCACAGACTCATAAATTATATTAATAAAAGACAACAACAAAAATAACCAGCAATGCTCGAGTGGGGCGGGCGAGAAAGTGCGCGAGATAGGTTTGCTAGTGTGTTAGTGGGTGTGTGATTGCTGTTAAACCTTATTTACTTTTTGTTTATTAAACGACGCGGAAAACTAGTGACAAGCACACACATGGACATGCACATGCACATACACACAAAGACACAGAGACACAGGGACACAGGCACACACAAACGAACAAACATGCAACATGGGAACAATCCGAGCGTGTTATAAACTAACAAGTCACACCTGACTGGGAATTTGCCACCCTCATTTGTTACATACGAATATTCGCAGTTGGAAATGAAAGTATTTGCTTTTAATTAAATTTCCTTAACTTTGTCACAATTTGTTAGGGAAATTTGTTGGCTAATATTGGAGTGTGTGTGCATATAATTTCAAGGCTGCTACCAGGTACACCTTTTAACCCTTAGCTACAAACAAAGTTCTGTTGCGTGTTGTTCGTTTTTCTTTTATAGTATAGTGGGGTTATATTTATTTTCGCGCTACGTATGTAGCAGATAGTTGAAATTATTATATAATTTATTTGGTAGTAAAAGCCAGACGATCAGTTACCAAATTAGTGTCATATTTTATGCTCGTTGAAGAATATCTGATTACCAAGTTGTATTACGACAATTGTTGGGAAACAAATAGGCGAGACAGCAGAAAACGGTATTCCTAAATTTCTTAAGTACACGAATAAAGAATATGAAACGGTGGTTGAAATAAATAATTTAAAATAAGTTATAATTAACTAGTCATATTTTATTTTTATTATCCTTCAATTTAGTTTTAATTCCGAGTTGATTTGGACTAGGGACTTTTGGTTTTAGTATGGAAAATGGCTTGATGTAAACGTTCAAATACTCTCAATAAGAATCAAAACCAACCAAAGTGTTTAATGAGATATTTTGTGATTTTGCTCACGCATTGCTTGGTTTATTATGCACCCGTTTGTGATATTTATTTGTGAGAGTCCTCGTTCGTGACAGTTATTATTGATTTAATTATATGGCAGGTGTTTGTTTTAGTATATGTATATCTGTTTGTAAATTTTGATTGCCAAATTTTCGATGCCGCAGCCATATTATTGCACCTTTCTATTCTCTGGCTGTCCCATTTCGTTGTCGGAGTCATTGATATTCTCCAGATGGCGCAACAATTCGGGAACGTGTGCCAAATGCGTTCTCTCTGCAAGCATGCTGCGAAAAGTAAGTTAGAAATCAGAGTAAATGCTTTAGTACTTGCCTAACTCATTGGCTATATCATCCATTGTATCCATAGCCTGCCATTCACGCAGTTGCAATGGAAAGCGTTGGCGTTGCTCGTTATCGATAAGCGGCATCGTCCTTGCTGTTGCAATAGAATTTTGAAGACCAAAAGTTTGTTTGTGCGGCGAGAAATATGTGTAGGTAGTATTTAGTTATTGTACGAGTGATCAAAGGGATGCTTGCTTGGTTTTACCTACAAGCGATTCGTGCAACAGGCGACACGGGCCTCAGAGTTATGTTTGCCGCCTTAAAGCCATCATTCTTGTGTCAGTGCTCACGTATGTACGTGTATTCAGCTGCTGTGGGTGTACTTGGCCCAATTATCACGCTTGATTTAATAAACTCAATGACGCTTTTAACTGCAATAAGTGGCTGCTAATCGTTTCGCATTTTCTCTTTCATTCTGTCTGCTCTGTCGGCAGCGCCGTATTGTATGCTATAGAAATAAAGTTCCTCTCCACGCAGCCAGCTTAAGAAAAACATGCACACAATGAAAATGGAAATAAAATTGTTATTCGCAAAAAAGTACATCAAACGAAATTGATGACAATTCAAGCTCATTGTCGGTTTTGCTGTCTGCCTTGTTGTCTCTTTCTCTCCATTTCCCTCTGCTTTCGTGCCCGTCGCCCTGCTTCGTTCATCATTGACGCTAACTACGGAAGCCGGAAACGCGCCGCAAATTGCAAAGTTTGAGCAGCGCGGCTGCTTCTGCAGATGTTTCTGCTCTTGCCTCTGCCTCTGCCATCTTCATCAAATTAATTTTATTGCATACAATTGACATTTTGGTTTTGTTGACAGTCGTCTTCTGCCTTAGACTTGATATGGATTTGGGCGACTGTTGCGCGTTGTGCGTAGGCATGGAAATTGACGGCAATTTTCTTTGCACTTTCCACATTTCCTATGATTATGCGGCGATTATAATAAATGCGAATTTCCTTCGCCATTTCCTTACTGTTTCTTTTGCTTTTAATTTGGAAGTGCAATAATTTTGCATTCGTTGCTGAGCGAAGGGAACTGACAAATTTCATTTAACTGAATTCAATATGTTTGCCAAATACAAATATGAAAAATGTATTAATTTTTTGATGAACTTTATAAATTAAAATGTGCATTTGGCCGTATGAGCGGCCACACGTTTTTTTGTTTAACTTTTATATTTGAATAACTTTACTGCAAATATATTATCAATTTTAAATGATATATATAAGCATTTGCTTACATAGTGTGTGTATCGAGTATTGAGCTCTGTGAAAAGCTTAATGATAGAATGAACTCTGGTTCAAAACATAAAATAGAGAAAATATATTAATTTCCTGGATCTGAAACGGACTCGCAAAAGACGAAATATAAATACTCGTATACAAGAGGCAGAAACTATTTTTATTCATGTTGTTCATATACGAGTATGAAAGTCATCGGACTCGAAGTTTGAGGCGTGGCTTGAGCTTTTGTGTGCGCTTGTTGGGTCGGAATTCATAAAAATTTACAGAAATGAGCGGCACCATTTTGGCCTTGCTTTGCTGTCAGATTTTCTACTTGGCTGATGCTTAAAGGCAAATTAGCAGCAGTTTTATGCCAATGTCTGCCCATTTGCTAACGGCTGCATTTAAGTTGTTCATCTTGAATATACTTATGTACGTATGTACGTACAATGGAGCATTTGAAGGACGCACGCGTCATAGTTGTATGTAGCTAAGCTACCAGATGTGTTCCCTAGCGAAAAAACTCCCTAAAAATAATAGAAAAATTCAAGTGCACGTGAGAAAAAAAGGAAAACACACCGATGAATGAGAGGGAGAGAGAAAGATGAAATATGTGTGTAAAAGGGACAGTGTGAAAGTCGTGCATTTGCTGCAAATTAGCAAGCATTTAGAGTTAAATCAGGCGCATAATTATTTTCCCATTGCCGAGAATGAGTGTGCGTATGTGCAGGTATTAGCTGTCCTGCATGTTTTGCGAAAAGGTAAAGCCGCCAAATGTGTGGTGATGCCGACAAAGGACAAGTATGCGGATACATGTGTGTGGTATAGAGTGTGTACGATATGCTTTTCACACATGCAAAGGCAGCACCTTTTTGCACACACATGGAATGGGCAATGGACAATGGACAATGAGGGAGTTGTCGTCGTCGTTGGCGGCTTATTTAAATTACAAATAGCTGTGAAATAGACGCATTACTTTCACTAATTTGTGGGCATATTTTCAAATCATAATAGAGATTTTTCACACACTCACACTAACAGTCGGTTAAGTATGCTTTGAAGTGGCTAAGGTGCTGGAATAATGTGTAAGTGTGGGCATCTTAAGTGGAATTTGAACTGGACAAGAAAATCGAACTCTGCTCACCTGGCATTAAGAACACTTGAGTTCAAGATTTCTTTCAGCCTAACTTGCATGTACAGCTCTTACTTATTTTGCTATTTAATTGAAAGGTACAAGGTTGAAGAGGGCTTAAAATGTTGCCGACATTCAAGTTTTAAACCCGATTTCATGCCATCGAGCTTAGCAAAATGGTCGACCCTATGCACACTGAGGTCGAGCAACCCCAGCAATAGATGCTATGTCGTCGATTTTGTTGAAACCAAGTCTATTAGAGTCAATTAGCGCGCGATTATAATGGCATTTTGAACGGTCGGTCGGACGGACGCACTCTTTTTTCCAACCAAACCCAAACACCAACATTTTGCCTTCCTTTAAAGTCATTGAAAAATTTGCACATAAATTGCGTAAAGTGCAATTTTTTCTGCCCTAACACGTTTTTTTATATGGTATGACAGAGAATGGGAGAGAGGCCCTGATATGTAGGCTGTAGATGCGGTAAATCGGCGTGGTTTGGTGTGTCCTGGCGTGGTCATAAATGGCAATCACCCCCAATTTATCGCTGGGGCGCGCCTGCACGTAATGCATGTGTTGTTACCCCTTTGTATGCGAGTTCGCAGTTGAATGCTTTCAATGGGCTGTTCTCTTTCACTCCTTCATACGCTTTTTATTTTTTTAATCCATTGCCTGCCCAATTTCACACAAAAAATGCAATCAAATGTGACGCTTTTATTATTCTTGCAAAAACTCGCATTTGGAGAAGAGTGAGAGAAATTAAAATCAATCAAATTAAATCGCCTTGTTCGACAATTTTGCGTGCACATTCCCCGACTCTTCAAATTTTTATTTCTCTGCAACTTGTGGGCATTGTATGTGCGGTCGTTTTAGGAATATGGAAAGTAGTGTCCCGTGTCTCCACGCTGTTGTTGTAACTTTTCTATCGAAACATTTACGTAAAAATGATTCTAAATAATAAGATAATAATAAGTAAAGTACACATAATATGGTTTAAATGCATATTTAAGAATCATTAAAAATGAATTTACATAGTTTTTAAAAACGATTTTTATTAAATTATTAAGATGTAAATTGCAGATAGCTATTCCCTCAAAAACACTCCTGGTTTAAACCTTACAAATTCGCTAACATTTTGAGTACATCCACAATTTGATTCTAATTGACTTTGTTACTAAATCTGACGCCCTACAGCTAGTTTGTTAGTCTGCCTACTTTCGTTTCTTGGTATGGCTTCATGAGATCTACCCCATGACAGCAATGGGCCCTATTAAGTGATAGATACTCTGGGCTTATTTTTTTGGCACAGAACGCCTTCCAGCAACTGATACTGTAAGCATCTTTTCCGTTTGCTTCGCTCCTCATTTAATGAAAATATTTGAAAAGCTTTTTCCATAATATTGCGCAAAATTATTTTCATATTAAATTAAAACTGGACTTTTAATTGAAAACACTCACATAGTTGTTTAATATATCAATACATTTGTAAATATGAAGATTTATTTAAAAGTCCTTAGTTTATTAAAGGAATAATTGTAATTTGTTTGTTAGCACAAAAAAATATATTAAATATTGTTGAAAGGAAGTCATGAATTCACAAAGTGTAACCCAACTTGGCACTTCAATGCACATGAGCGCTCTTTAAGTTGTGTGATGGGAGCGGCTTTTCAATTTCATCGATAATAATTGAAGTGAAAACAATAGTATGTGTTTGTGTGTTCGAGAGTGTGTGGTACGGAAAAAGCTTCTTCAAGAACTTAGTATTCTCATTGTGTTTGTATGTGTATTTGCAGTCGTGCTCACAGCCATACTAATTGACCATATGCCGTTGTGTGCTGCATACTTGAAAGCGTCATATACTGGTATATTATTTGCACTCTTTATTACGGATTTAAATCAAATTTGTATGGAAATTAAAATTGAATATACCAGTACTACAAAAAGCAGGCCCATTGACGATCATGATGACGACGTGCTTAGCATTGTGTGCGTGTTTATTTTTGTTTTTGTGCAAATTGATTAGTGGGCTGAACTTCAGGGTTGCAATGGGTTGGCTTGATTTTGCATGGCCATTGCCTCCTTAATTTCCTTTTTTTTTTTTGGATTGTGCTTTGTTGTGCAGAGTTCTGTAAAGTGATTCGCTTGAGAAAAACGGTTGTAAAAAGTTGACAAAAATTTAAATGACAAAACATAAAAGATGCCAAGTGTGAGAGTTTCGAGGCATCGCCTCGGTAAGCCCTTAATAAGCATGAAAAAATTAGTAGTAGTAGGATATTTGATTAATACATTTCAATTACTAGAAAAAGAAAATCAAAAACATTAAAATTTAGTTAATACAATATATATTTATAATGAAGTCAGATTAGTGACAAACCTGAAGGCAAATAAATTTGATCTATTTTTACGTTAGGAGGGAAGAAGCGGAATCTTCTTAGTATGATAGCTATATAGAACATCAAAAAGATTCCCTTTTACTAGTATGGAAATGCTTTTTCTTGATTGCGTAGCTACTTTTTTACACTCTCTGGCTATCTGCCATTATTTGCACTCATTAATTACTATTAATTACTATACTATACATATATTTATCTGCATCTGTGCAGCGTCTGTGACGGCAAAATATTTCATTCATGAAGATCGAGTTTTAATTAAACGCATGTGTCTAAATTGGTAAACGTGTTGACTAATTGTGTTTGGCTGCACTCGAGCGTTGCAGATTTGTTGGAAGTGCAATAAGCGGAAAAATTGTTGGCACTACTCACATACACGGAGAGAA